GTTTTTTCTTCCCTTAATTTTTTCTATTAATTTAAATTCACTTAACTCTTACCTTATCCATCAACACATTTAAATTATGTAACTAATTTTGACTAAGTCTATAAATTGACATGTAAATATTTATTTTTAAAAAGTTCATTCAAGGACTAAATTATCTATTACTGTAAAATACAATGACAAACAAACTTTCAATTAAGGACTTGTTTGCAAGAAAAATATAGTACATGGATAAAAAAAATTTCCAAAAATTTTGAAGGATTAAAATGTACATTAACAAAAAAATCAAGCTGTTAGAATGCAGCATGTGTCAATTTTACACGGTGTTAGCGACACCAATTGATGAAAGGATGTAAAAATAATGAAAATTTAAAGTGCATGGGTTGATGTTTATATATATGAGCCTTTAGAAATAAAACAAAAAGTACGGAGTCGTAGAAATTGGCCATCAGTTTAAATCTAAGAACACTAAATTTCAATAATAATTAAAACGATAAACATTATTTTTCCTTCCTATAAATTAATCAAAGGTCTCCTATTCTTATAATTCAAAATTTCCTAATGTTAGCAATATTAGAAATTCAAAATCGTAGGGATAGAAGTGAACACTGATGAACATATAAGAGCCATAATATACTTTGTTCTATTGAACAAAAAAAAAAAAAAAAGGAGATAAATAAACAGGAGGATAAAAACAAAGATGATAGAATGAAGACAAAGGAGCAATCGTAGCCATCTTTCTATTGGCCAAACATATCTTTGGTCCCTCTGTCATTTCTTCTTTGACTACTGATCAAAAGAATATTGTAACATGAATGCTAACACCATCATATATCTAATCTTCGAAGACAACTTTAGGCTCTAAAACGCATAAGATAATTTCAAATATGGGCCCATATGTTCACAACTTATAGTTGTATAAGCGCAACGTACTTTAGGATTCCTCTAGATTTAACAATTATAGTTGTTGGATCCGGTCTAGACCAGATTTAAGGCCCCGGATAATTGATCTCAGGTCATTCCAAAGGATCAATGACTCGATTCAATTAATCAATTATATATGGTGAATAAATTAACACGAATAAATACATGTGATATATATATATATATACACACACACATCACATGTGTTGGTTTGATTGACAAAGTTTTTCTAGCTAATGAAAAAAATATGATTCAAATCCTACTCTAAGCAATTTTCTTTAGTCAAAGTTTGATTGAACCGAATTTGGCCAAATTACAAAAAAAAAATAATAATAAAAAAAATTAAATAACAACAGACATAAAGTTCTCAGCATACGAGTAATGGATTAGTGAATGAATAACGATTCTTATTAATTTTTAACATTTTGAGTTTGATGGATGAAGTTTTTCTAATTAATGAAAAGAATAAGATTCAAATCCTACTCTAAGCAATTTGTTTTGTCTTAGTCAGAGTCAATTTTTAATTCAACAGAATTCGACAATTTGATCGTGTTAATTTTTTTAATGTATATATATGTTGGTTTGATTGAAAACCTATATATTGCTTTGATTGACAAAGTTTTTCTAGCTAATAAAAAAAAAAAATTCAAATCCTACTATAAGCATTTTTTTTAATAGTAAAGTCAATTTTTTATTCAACCAAATTTGAAATAAAAATTATCGAGTTCAATTTTTTAACCGATATAACATCAAACCTAGCTCGAAACAAGCATCAAGTCCTTAAATTTAAGATTCAATCTGTCGGATCAAGTCGGTTTTGACAACTATGATAATGACATAAAAACCACAAAAAAAGAGTTAATTATAAATTACTCGCCATAATTTATCACAACTAATTAGTTCTAGTCTAACAAATAATTAAATTGTTCCTTGATTGGTATATATTTACCATGCACAATTTACTAATATATTTTTATAAAAAGACTTTTTTTTTTTTTTTGTATTAATCCCTTCTCTTTCGTTCTTCTATTGTTTTTTAAAAGAAAAAAAAAAAAGAACATAAAACTACTGAAAAAAAAAACTAATTTCTAAATTGATTGAAAAGTTAGAGATTAAATTTTATGATGATTAATTAATTAATTAGTTTCGTTAAAGTATTATAGGAAATGTGTTATAATTAACTCCTACGAAGAAGAAAGAAAGGGCAAAAAAAAAAAAAATTAGTGGATTAAATTAAAACTGAACCACATGCTGGCTCTTACCGTTTATTATATTACTCTACATGTATAATGAAAACCTTAAATTAAAAAGAGGGCCTCTGCTTCTGCTTGAAGTTTTGTACAAAGTAAATATAGTTATTATGATTTTATACTATAGTAGTTCTAATATGTAGAGCTGATGGGGGTCCATCAAGTACACTGCTCATTTGCCTTGAATATCAAGCAACCTCGTAATCCCTCTTTCTCTCTCTCTCCAACATTCATGCCAAAAGAATCATGATCATAATAAGCACTCTAGCCCAAAACCCATGTGAGCTCCTACCTTCCCTTTTCATTTTATTTCTCTTTCTCCATAATAAGTACTCTCACTCTCATATACAAAATTTGCTTTACTGTTATAGTGTTTTTCTGTAAAAAGAAAACTTTAATCTGTTATGCCGAAAATTTAACAAAAAATTAAGTATATATAACCGTCGAAAAATCTGGTTTATTTGGTGATGCCACCGTTAGTTGCTTGTACGTATTCCTTTTCTCTATCTTCATCATAAATTAAGTTTTTAGCTAATAGCGGAGTCAGAAATTTAATAGACGGGACAAAATTTTAAATGAGGTTCTTGAAAAAAGTTGGATAAATAAAATTATTTATGCAATTATTAATTTCTTTTTTAATTTTAAAAGAAATACTAATTACAGAATCATTAAAGAAAATTAAGGATTATATATATATATATATATATATATATATATATATATATATATATATATATATATATATATATATATTGTTGGGGGTGGGTGGGTAATAAGATTCTCAAAATAAGAAAAATCCTTATGAAATTCTCCAATTTATTATTCCGGTTGAATTACACTCAATATCCTTTCAAAATTTAAACAATCTTTCTTTTCAATAAAAATAAAATTTTTCTTGCTGATTATGTAAATCATTGGCATAAGTTTAAAAATAGTTGTCATCTTAAATGCAATTTTTCTTGCTTTGTAAATCCGTGGGTAAAATTTAATTGCAAGCCTACAAATATTATTAGTATTCTTTTCAACAGTCACGCATAACCAATTTGTTGTCTTGCATATGTAACATCAACTTTAGATGGTTGCATTAATTTCACATTGTGTCTTCTAGTAGTAGTCTGTTTAAGGGAATTAAATTGTTTATGCTATGCTAGTTTTTATGCTACACTAGTTTTTACTTGAGATTTTCCTACAATGCTGAGTGTGCTCACGTACTGCCTTTATATATATATATATATATATATATATATATATATATTGACTTTTCAAAAAATAAAAAATAAAAAAAAACAATTTTTTTTTAAATATTAATATATGATATTATAAATATAATTTATATGCAATTTTGCAACTAATATTAATATCCTTTATGGGTAATTAGGTTTTTTTCCCTCTTAGAAAGAGCGGTTAGAAAAAAGAAAAAAAAAGGAAGGGGGGTGGTGCGACCGCACTCTCCAGCCTCCTGTAGCTTCGCCTCTAGCTTTAATTTTTGGATAATTATTGGCACCCTTTCAAGCCATACAAATAATAGTAGTAGTAATAAATATGGAAAAGAAAAATTTACTATATAATTATCTTATTTACTAATATTATTATTTTATGGAAAAGCAAAATTTACTATCCAAAGTTTACTAAATAATTATCTTACTTACTACTATTATTATTTTATGGAAAAGCAAAATTTACTATATAATTATCTTATTTACTATTATTATTTTTATGGCTCCAAAGGGTGCCAAATTTTTAAAAGCAAAATTTACTATAATTATCTTACTTACTAATATTTTTCTTTTTTTATTTTTTCCCTAAGATCTAGATGTCATATACTAATGACCGCTATTTCTAAGAGAAAAAAAAAAATCCTAATTATATATATATATATGCATGCTTGCTTTTTGATTGTGTGGCTTAAGTAACAGCTATGAAATCCGTTTCATGCCTTTTGCTTTAGTAGTCAAGCCCTCGAAAACAAAAGGTGTATGAGAGAGAAGGTTCCTTAAGCTTTAGAAAATCCAAGTGGTACGTATGTTTTTTTTTTTTTTTTAATTCCTCTTTCATAAACCGCTTACAGCAGAGTACTTAAATTAGCAAAGGCTCTTAAAGGTGAGTGCCTAGATAGGCTTGAGGATACCTTTTCCTTTTTCTCACTGGCTTCAGTTAAAGTAAGAGACTAGAGAGAGGGATTTCTGGTGATTTCCATGGTTAAAGCAGCAGGTTTATAGCTAAATCCCACAGCCACAGTTTCCTCTTTTAGTTTCCAGCTCTTCCTTCTTTAACTTCTCTTCTATCCCCTCTCTTACTCCAACTAGTTTTCTTTTCCATAATTTAACGAATATATTTTATATTCATATTTCTGTTTTGGAGATATTTCTCATCTGGTTTTTTTCTTTTTTCTTTTTCTTTTTTCCTTCTGTTGAAAATATTACAGTTTCTTGTATGTCTATATACTAATCATCTATTTCCGTTCCAAATAGATATTTTTTGAGTTAATTTCATTTTTCTAGGCTCAATCAACATCTACAATTACCACTCTTCCAAGTTGTTTTTTCTTAGAGTTTTATTTTGAAAGCCGTATATTTTATGCATATATTTTGGTTTTCAAGACAATATTGATTATGTTCGGCTAGCCAGGATTACAAACATAATCAATTCACTGTTTATATGTTAATGGATCTCAAATTCATGATTTGTGCTGTATAGATATATAGCAAGAAGGATATGAGTAGCAAGCTGTTGTTCAGAGTTGATAAGTTCAAGAAAAAATTTAAAAGATACGTTTGGGAGAAAGAAACAATATAGCATCAGTTGTACTGTGATCGAAAAAGATCAGCCATGACTACTAAGAGTAACATGGCTTCCATCAGCAGCTCTGATCTCATCGAAACAAAGCTTGAAGAGCATCAGCTGTGTGGATCCAAGCAGTGCCCCAGCTGTGGACACAAGCTCGAAGGAAAGCCGGTAATATATATGGACAATAATCTCCTGCTATTCTTTCCTTTCCAGTAGATTTCATGAAACATATATGAAAGAATATTGCAAAGCAAAAATAGGCATCTTTTTTTCCTTTTTTTTTTTTTTTTTTCATTTCATTTTTTGGGTATAAATAATTTAATATTTTTTTGAACAAAATAAATTGTTGTTATTAAATTTTTAAGTTGAGCTTCTTTTTTTTTTTCTTTTTTTTTCTTTCTTTCTTTTTCTTTTTTTAACTTGGATTTGAGTGGAGTTAATTTCCAGGATTGGTTAGGTCTACCGGCAGGAGTGAAATTTGATCCAACAGACCAAGAGCTGATAGAACACCTTGAAGCAAAGGTAGAAGCCAGAGACATGAGGTCTCACCCTTTGATAGATGAGTTCATCCCTACAATTGAAGGGGAAGATGGGATTTGTTATACCCATCCTGAGAAACTTCCAGGTCAAATTTTTCAAAACCATTTGTCACCTCTCTCTCTCTCTCTCTCTCTCTCTCTCTCTCTCTCTCTCTCTCTCTCTCTCTCTCTCTCTTTATGGTTCAAAGTAGTTAGGTTTTGCCATATTTTTATATATTCTGAATATATATATAAAAAAAAACCTAATGATATATACACACACGCTTTGTTATTAAGCGTTAATCCTTCTCTAGTTGATTTGTTACGACTTTGGAAGAATTGTATTGTGTCGCAGTTTGTTGCACCTAAGCGAACCCAACTTTGATTTTCCTTTCATCTTTCCATGCAGGAGTAACAAGAGATGGGTTAAGCAGGCATTTCTTCCACAGACCTTCAAAAGCTTACACAACTGGAACAAGAAAAAGAAGGAAAATTCAAACCGAATGTGACTTGCAAGGTGGAGAAACAAGGTGGCACAAAACAGGCAAGACAAGGCCAGTCATGGTGAATGGCAACCAAAAAGGATGCAAGAAAATCCTAGTCCTTTACACCAATTTCGGCAAAAATCGAAGACCCGAAAAGACTAATTGGGTCATGCATCAATACCACCTTGGTCAGCATGAAGAAGAGAAAGAAGGAGAGCTTGTGGTTTCTAAGATATTCTATCAGACACAGCCAAGGCAATGCAATTACACTGATAGAAGTGCAACCACTGGTGAAGGAATCAGCGAACCTAATAGCAGAAGGGACAGTGGTAGTGGGAGTTGTTCTTCTAAGGAAATAATTCCACAGAGAGATGAAATCTCAGGAACTGGGCCAGTTGCCGCGTCAATATCAAGTTATACTCCCATGGATATTCAACAATTGAAATCTGATCATTTTGGTTTTACTCCGTTCAGGAAGAGCTTCGATGAGGTATATATGTTGATGCATACATACATACATACATACATACATATATAGACAACTCCTACACGTCTTCTTTCCTTAGTATATTCATCAACAATCTTTGCAAAAGGATATTGCATGTATTATATTATGCCTATAAAAATTCTAAATCATAAAATTTCATGTATTTTGAAAAATTAAGGTGAATGAAATGTTCTTGTTTTCAGCACATTTTTATTGGTCATGTATCACGCAAGGGATATAAATGAGAGTAAAAAACAAATCTAGCTAGGGTTACTTTCCTCATTTCATTGCTTGTAAATTCAGCATGAAAAAATCTTTAGACCTCACTTGATTATCTTTGTCAGCTAACTAAACCACCAGACAGGCCGAGTAGTAAGTTACAACGTACATTAATGAAAACGAAACCAATATTCAAATTAAAACAGATAGAGTGAGCAAAGGCATGTAAAGAGAAAAGGTAAAGTAGGAACTAAAGCGGGAATATATATATATATATATGTATATATCTTCAGCTGAAGAGGTCTGAAAATAGACTAACTATCAAACTTCTTCATGGGGTTGCGTCCATTTCAGGTGGGGATAGGAGAGGCTTCAGTAGCAAGGGAAGCCTCAGCATCAGGCCCATGCGATGAGATTCGGGAGCACCATCAGAGGCCACATCACATGGCCCATGATCGCCATCAACAACAACAGCAGCACCACCTCCACCAGCACCACAATCACACGGCACATCACCAGATTGCGACTACGGCCTTCCACATTAGCAGGCCTTCCCATCCCATCTCCAACATCATCTCTCCACCTCCCCTCCATCACACTTCCATCATTCTTGATGATGACCCATATCATGTATCCAGAATAATGCTTCAAAACGAAATCCAGGTACTTAAGTTGATCAACCTAATTACTAACTACATGTCCTCCAACTAATTTCTTTCAAATCTAACAACAGTTAAATTGAATCAAATTCTAATGTGACTATGATTAGCTAGTCTGTACATTTCTCTTATTAAGACTTCCCTTCTTTTTTTCTTTTTTCTTTTTTTCTTTCAACTGTACTATAACTTCTCCGTACTGGAACATGAATTTTACAGTAAACTTATGTCAGTTCACATAAAATTGTCACCACAAGGTCCAGGAAACTGTTCATCAAATTAAAACACCTATCTCTAGAAAATAATAATAATATTACGAAATAAATAAACAAGGCCATGTATATATGGAATTTGACGTTGTGCCAGAAGGTATGGGAAGAAAGTTGATAGCTAAGGTGATATATAGAGGAGCCTGCTACCAATAGCTTAACTCTCACTCTTCCTCCCTCCCCTCTATCTCAGCCACCCAAGAATTCAGTACTGATATAGTTGCATTTTATGTTTTTTTTTTTTTTTAAATATAGGAGAAATTTGTGATGGAAAATGAAAGTTCGCTGAATAAATTTTGATCTTCAATTGAACTAAGGGGTGTTGGTCCATTTAGTTGGGTGCCATACGCTGTCTTCTTACTTTTTAAGACTCTTTGAAGACATGATGATTAGTCTTCACTTTTTGATATATTGTTCACAAATGAATGCAGCAACAGCAGCACCAACAGCAACAGCAGCACCAACAGCAGCATCATAAACTGGGAGGAAGGTCTGCATCTGGTTTGGAGGAACTCATAATGGGTTGCACGTCAACTGATGTAAAAGAAGTGAGTATGAACTTTTTGACCCTGAAATCCATGAGCCATGTTTGTCATAAATTCCTGCTAGGAAAGAACAAAGAAAACGTGGAAAAGGATATATATTTTAAATAAAGAAGAAAAGAATTTGGTTTAAAACCATTTTCGTTATTACTGGCTGAGAATCTGAGATTACTATTATTTTAAACTAAAGATACGGAACCACAAACCTTTTCCTTTCTTTTTCTCTTTTATTTTCTTTTTCCTTTCAAGTTTATGAGGTTTTGATATCATGCATACAGTAATACACTAGGGAGTAACTTTTTGTTAATTACCTCATAGGGAAGGATGCATTACATATGTTAAAAACTTAAATATTAGAGTGTAAATTGAAAATTAAAAACATATAGACTTACTACTTGTTGCTTAATTCTTTGCACCATGCAAGGACTGCACCTTTCCTTCTCCTCATAAATGATCAGGATGGATAGTGAAGAATTTTTTCTAGTTTAAGATAATATATATGACTTTTGATTAGGGGCAAAAAAAAAAAACGTAAAAAAAGAATGCAGCTAGCCCAAGATTATAGCAGAACACAATTTGATTCACAAACCCTCAAACCATTTATTTGTTTATTAATATATTTTTCTTTCTAAACAAAATTTGAAACTTTAATCATCCCTCATTTTGACAATTTAAAAATTCTTGTAACAGCCAACAAATTGACACCTCCAACATATAAATAATTTTAGCTGCAAATAGTATAAAATTTAGTAGAAATTTATCCAATGGTTTAAACTTTTATTTTGAAAAGTTTTTTAACCTGATATTAAAGCTTTTTTTATCAAATGGTTGAGTTTAAAATTAATCATTTTCATTCTTCTAATTAAATTTAAAATATTCTTAAAATCTGATCCAATAATATAATCTTTTGGGTTAAAATAGTTATTTGATACCATTATATATGTCTAATTTATTTTAAGAAAATAAAAATAAATAAGCCAGATAAAAAAAAAAAAAAAAAAAACTAAAAATCAATAGAAAAGATGTTTCCAGCAAAATATTTTTATATAAGAAAGGTTGATGATAGCGACTTGAAAACTTTTATCATGCGTGTCCTCTCAGGATAATACAATATCAGACAAGCTTATTGTGGAGGAGATTAAAGGGACAAAAGAGGCAGCTTCATTTGTTTGTTTTTAAGTAAAAACTTTCTGCTCAAACCAGAACCCTAGCTATTCTCACATGTTGGCATTTTTATTGCAGGAGTCATCCATTGCAAATCCACAAGAGGCAGAGTGGTTGAAGTACTCTTCCTTCTGGCCAGACCCTGACAACCAAGATCATCATGGGTAGGACCAAAGAATAAACAAAGCCCTTACAGACACTATCATTATCGTTGTCACCATCATGATTACTTGAAGCTACCCTGATGTTCTTTACTATAAGAGAACCAAGCGATCATCTTACAAGGTTCCCAGCTCTTTTACTTTATTTTTCTCTTGAGGGACCTGCCTTATAGGGTTGGTCTAATGGCTCTTAACTGAACTAACTGTTCAACAGTCCATGTTGGAAAGAAAGAAAAGAAGGAAAAAAAGAGAAAAAAGAAAAAGAAAGAGAACCAAGAAAGGCTGCTCTCTACTGACATTTAGAAGGAGAAACAAAGACCCAAAGCAAAATCTTCGTACATGAAAATCATCACCATTATGATTACGCTATCATCCTTTACATGCCTATTCTTATTAATTTATTTTTTAACACATCCTGTATAAGTTCTTTTATTGTTCTTTGAACAGAACTATATATATATATATATACCGAATAGGTTGTGCAAATTGCAAAAAAAACTTTGTTAATTTTACTCCGCTATTATTTCATCTTATAGTAAATATACCAATATACACGTGTCAGTATATATATTTGATTATCTCGCTTCTCAGCAATAAAAAATATGTTTATGGTTTGTTTATAATATTGGGTTCTTATCTTTTTCCAACTTCTTACTGTGCTCCGAGATAAGATATTTGAATGGGACGTCACTTTTTTATTTTTTATTTCGTACAAAACGGGGCACACCGGCCAAACGAAATAAAGCACTAAGCTATACAAATTCTAAAGAAAGCCACTAATGGGAAGTCAATATATATTTGCCCTTGGCATTGCCGTTCGAGCACTTTAGGAAAAATAAAAAAATAAAAATCGGAACTCTCCTAGTTGCCTTCTCTTTGAATATATATATATATATATATATATATATATTTGTCTAATTATGATGAACCCCGACGTCGATTTTTCACGTTTATATCTGGTTATTGAACGATAAAATTTGAACACTTTTGGTTTGGAATATTATAATATAATCAAATTTTAAGAGTTGGTTTGGTTATTAAAAATAGTGTTGGAATACTAGCTGCTATCCCAATTCCATCCGTCCATGATAAATTATTTTGAACCGTATCCCTTAATAAGACTTGATATATGTTTTTAAAAATAGATAAGAGTTATCTATTGATAAACTTAAATTTAATATTTAAATTATATTTAAGTTATATGTAGAAAATTTAATCTTTCTATTAGATAAGAAGATATTTTGTATAAATATACTTTTTATACGTACAATTCGGAATACGTAACATAAACCTAAACTCCATGCTCATATGTTGAGCTTCTCCCCTCTCCTCTCTCACAAACTTCGAACCATATTAGCATAGTCCAATAAGTTGTGGAGATCATTGAAGATCATTGGTGCAATTTGTATGTGATTGGACTATTCGCCCGAGTGTACCAATCAATCCGTCGATCAAACTACTTTCGCATAGTTGTATACTCGGATATTGGTATCGAGTACCGGGTTGGTACACGTGATCTCTTACATCAAGATGAACATTCTATAATTTTTTTTTCATTTTTTTTCATGATTTAAATATGAATTTTCTAATTTTTCAAAATTGAAAATTTGTATTAAGTAATCTGTTCTTCAAAAAATGACAAAAATATATCAAAATGCGTGTTTCATGTGGTTTAACGACATATTAAAATTTTAGATTTATTTTATTTCAAATGCTTGTGAAAAAGTCATTTTCTATTCAAATCTTTTAATCTAAATATATGAAAATATAGTTTCCTCTCAAGGTTGCTAGGTTTTTTGTATCTCACAATGTTTTGATTATCCTAAATATTGCGTGTTGGTTGTATTTTTACAATAAGCAAAATGTGTGTGAGCGCTAGTCCCATTAGGAAACTAGTTTCCTAACCACGAAGAGAGAGAATAATATGAGCTAATTATTTTGATAAATTTATGTCCAACAACTTTGGATGAAGCCCATTTTGTATGTCTTAATAAAACCAGCCCATTGATCTAATTAAATATCATAATCCAAAATTTATCCAAGTCTTACTAGAAATCTTAACTTGACTAGGAATCCTAATCCAATTAGGACTTCTAGCCATGCTCCAATTTCGATTCGATCTTTATGTGTGACCCTATAAGTTCCTATTACATTAGTAATGACTTTAAAATTATAATTTAGAATTACGGATAGTGAGCAACATTTAGCTATGCACCACTACTTCCTAAGCAATAAGAATGTCAATGATTCAACATAACCTTGTCCTATTGTCTTAGATGTCTAGATCAAACATGAGGCGTGAAATATGTCATTCTCATATAGTTTAATCTTAGTATTTCTTGATCCATGAGTTGACTATTCCAAACAAATAAGATTGAGATTTTATATCAACTCATTTGAGCATGGCCATGCATTACATAATCTCACTTAATGAAAGAGTCCATCGACATCACTCTTATTATATAGGAGGAACAAATCCCATCTACATAACTCACATTCTTTTGTATTAGTCATGGTATATCCAATAACCTGACTTTATAAACAATGTTGTTAGAGATGACATTTAATGATATCAAAATGTATGACTCTTCATGTAAGGAACCATAGTGACTTAAAGTAAAAGAGCTACATACACCATAGTCACAATGAAACCAACTTATGACACTCACATAAGGATCTATGCACTCGATCTCATGGCGGGTTAGTCTAGTATGTGTTCTTTAACATGTACCGAGTGTGTTGACTTGATATCTCATATCTATAACACATTATTATTCATCAATGCACATACCAGTCTTAATGCTTTATTTTTTCCCCTTTAAGATATCCATAATAATAATAAAAAATGACTAGAGACATTTAAGAATAATAATATTCTTAAGACTTTATCATATTCATTTAATAAAATACTAAAAAAATAAACATAATAAATAAAATACCTTATATATATAAATATATAATAATATGATAAGTGTATGCTAGTACAATTAAACTATGATTGGCTACTAGAGCATGCACTAACATTTCAAACACTACATTAGAGATATCGAATTGAACAACCGATTGCATCATCGAAACTAGAAGGTCGGTTTTTTTTTTTTTATGCAAAATTTAGGAATTTTTTTTGATTCATGATGATTTATTATGAATTTTTTAATTTTTAAGGTAATTGATTTTTTTTTTAATTTACTAAATTATTTAGAAAGTTTTGGAAACATTTGTGTGTTTTAATTGATTGAGGATGCTAAAAATACATCTATAAAATTCAATATTAGGTTTTATTTACTCGTGTAGTTGAAAAAACTCGGAAAAAATCTAGATATGTTATGCGAATAACTTTTGTATTTAAGAAATTTTTTCACAACTTTTTGAAATCTTGGATCATTTTTCTATTAATTAATATATGAAACAAAGATATTAAATATAGTTTAATTACCTTAATTACCTAGAAAATTATCATAAATTTTTTTTATATTCTATATAGAATACGTGAGGTTGTGGACTCTCTAAAATCATTTTTTTGGTGTATTTTATTATCTTTTATGAAATTTAATTTCCTAAATAGGATCTTTAATTTTTTTAAATATCCAAATAAATTTAGAAAATGACTTGAACATTTTTTGTATGACTTGAGAATGGTTCACTTTGGTTTGTGGATTGTTTAGATTATTTTTTCAATTTCAAATTCCCATTGGTTTGTATTTATGACCTTATAATTGAATTAGTTTCAATTATATATTAAAGCATTATTTAAAATGGACAAAGTAATATCAAATATGTTTAGAGCATTTGTAATTTATGAGTTTTGTACTCAAGATTATCAATGCATCTGTTTGAGAAGGTGTGGATGTCGATCAATCAAAGGATGAAGCTTTGTTATTTCATTATTTATATTAGGCCCGTGTCAAAAGGCTTCTTTTTTTTTTTTTTTTTTTTTTTTTTATACTGTAAATGGACTTTGGACTATATTATTTTTGGAATTTTATTTATTTATTTTTAATTATTCATTCATGCTTATATACAAAATGTTTTTAATGAAGCATATATATATATATATATATATCCCATTCCAAATTTAATTTGACTAGGAACCTAACAAAATGTTTTTAATGAAGCATGATAGGCAAACCAAAATTCTTTGTGCATAATGAATGATAATTGAATATTAGGCTAACAATTGTTGATTGGGAACGTAATGAACTTTTGCATTTGTTTCTAATGTTTGATAATCATTATGACATTTATATGTGTATATGGATATAGTATGAATGTGCTAAAACTTTTGTGTCCGTGTAGCCCTAGTATCTCTTGACTTGACGACAATTAGAAATATTATTGCTAAGCTTAATAAGGACCTAAAACTTAATGACAACAATTATGATGTCCGGCACTAGTTGCTAATTATTTTTGGACAATGTTTTTATGGTTTTGGTTTTTTTGAAAAATGATTTTAAGGTTTTAGATGTTATTATTGATAATAATTTTAAGAATGCTATTGTTTATTCTTATGATACATCCACCTCTACTCGATGTACATTTAAGGCATACACGTTTGGGCCATATTGGCCAACAAAGGTTAAACCGATTAGCTAAAAAAGGCTTTTTAGGCCCATTTGATAAAGTAGAGCTCAATGTTTAAGAACATTGCCTATATGGAAAGATGGATAGAAAACCATTTGGTAAAAGAACTAGAGAAAAATTTATATTGCACCTAATACATTCAGAAATTTATGATCCAAAGAATATAAGGGCAAGACACATGGTAAATTATTTCATCATATTTATCGATGAACACACTTGTTTTGGTCATATGTACTTAATGACTTATAAATTTGATGCGTTGGATTGTTTCACAAGGTTTTTAAACCTTGTAAAGAATCAATTAGACCAAAAGGTCAAGGTTTTGAGAGCTAATTATGAGCATGAATATTTATCCGATTAGTTCGAGCATTTATGTGCTTGATAGATAAATAGCAAGATAATTGACTATTCTTGGCACGCCATTGC